GAGTGCCGGCCTCTGACCTCTCACCACAGGGAACTATCCCGCCACGCAGCCGGAACACCGGAAATCCCTCCCGAGAGTGGATCGGAAGTCTGCAGGCCGGTGTGTGTCGGGAAGGGCACTGAACCTGGCCTAGGAAGTTTGAGTTTCCTCCGTAATATCGACACCAATATGCAGGGCCCTGATCACAAGCATAATCTGCCTTCTTCCTGAGCCCCTCAACCATGAAATGAAAATAAGTTCAATGATTTTTTAACTTTAGCCTAAAACAGAATTTTCCGGAGGTGCTCACACAGATTTCCTACGGCCTCCTTTACAAGAATTCTGATCCAGTTGCTCCGGGATAGGGCAAGTAATCTGCATTTCCCACCAACCTATCAAGGATGCCAATGCCACCAAGTGACAGGGAATAGATTAAATGCCCCTCAAGACCTAGTGGCTGATACTTGTAATCCTAGCACTCTGGGAGGCCAAGACGGGTAGATTGCTTAAGCTCAGGAGTTTGAGACTAGCCTGAGCAAGAGAGCCCATCTCTACTAAAAGCAGAAAAATTAGCTGGTGTTGTGGAGGGCGCCTGTAGTCCCAGCTACTTTGGAAGCTGAGGCAAGAGGATCCCTTGACTAAGGTTGCTGTGAGCTATGATGATACCATGGCATTCCTACCCAGGGCGAATGAGTGAGACTGCCTCAAAAAAATTAAAATATCCATCAAGAGAAGCCTGCCATTCCTCATAGTTCACAACTGGCCTCCTAGGTACTCCAGAGGCGGAGGTAGGAGGGTTCCTCGAGCCTAGGTGTTCTGGGCTTAGGGCAGACAACACCATGCCAATGGGTTGTCCCTTTTACATTCAGCACCTGGGCAGTGCCTGTGGCTCAGTGAGTAGGGCTCCAGCCTCATATACCAAGGGTGACAGGTTCAAATCCAGCCCCAGCCAAACTGCAACAAAAAAAAATAGCCGGGCATTGTGGCAGACATCTGTAGTCCCAGCTACTTGGGAGGCTGAGATAAGAAAAAAATCACTTAAGGCAGTGGTTCTCAACCTTCCTAATGTTGCAACCCTTTAATACCCTCATGTTGTGGTGACCCCCAACTATAAAACTATTTTTGTTGCTCTTCATAACTGTAATTTTGCTACTGTTACAAATCGTAATGTAAATATCTGATAGAATGTATTTTCATTGTTACAAAGGGGTTGTGACCCACAGATTGAGAACAGCTGACCTAAGCCCAAGAGCTGGAGGTTGTTGTGAGCTGTGACACCACAGCTCTCTACCAAGGGCAACATGAGAACAGCTGACCTAAGCCCAAGAGCTGGAGGTTGCTGTGAGCTGTGACACCACAGCTCTCTACCAAGGGCAACAAAGTGAGACTCTGTCTCTAAACAAATAAATAAACAAATAAATTCAGCACCAATATGGTGACCTGCCAGTATTTGGGGGAGGATCACCACATTGCCTAAGGAGGGGTGAATCCGCCCAGGATGGAAACAGGATAGATCAAAGGAGATAGGTTATAATTCCATTGTTGATCAGTACTGACATAGTGCCTATGAATACCTGCAGCACTCTAGCTTGGACAACATAGGGAGACCAACCTCTAAAAACAAGTAAAGAGTAGAGGGCAGTGCCTGTGGATCAGTGAGTAGGGTGCTGGCCCCATATATCGAGGGTGGCAGGTTCCAACCCAGACCCGGCCAAAGTGCAACAACAACAACAACAACAATAGCTGGGTATTGTGGCGGGCACCTGTAGTTCCAGCTACTCAGGAGGCTGAGGCAAGAGAATCGCCTAAGCCCAAGAGTTGGAGGTTGTTGTGAGCTGTGATGCCACTGCACTCCACCAAGGGTGACAGAGTGAGACTCTGTCTCTTAAAAAAAAAAAAAAAAAAGGAAAGAATAGAAAGGCCTAATTTAAATTTAAAGACTACAAAAAGGATGTTATACAACTTTTAAAAAATGTAAATTTTGTAAAACTAGGAAGACAATATGCTATGGCTCGCTTTTAAAAGCATAATACAAAAATGCCATGAAGGCTGTGTTAACCTGTTTGACGAAAATATTTCAAATTGTATATAAAACCAGCGCATTGTACCCCATTATTGCATTAATGTATACAGCTATGATTTAATTTTTTTTAAAAAAGCACAATACAAGCCTAAGAATATGGGGAGAGGGGAGGGGGGAG